ATAATGAACCCCCAAAATAACAAAGCAATCACACCACTGAGAAAAAACACTTCAAGACTTAACACCTCTCTATATCAACTTCTCCTTTATACATGTTGGGGAGGCGTGTGATACAGTGGGTTGTGCGTTGGTATTGGGATCAGGGGGTCACAGGTTTAAACCCCACTGCAGTCAGCATGTCGTTGTGTCCCTGAAACACTTCACCCCAAATTGCTCCTGTGGGGATTGTCCACAGTATTGATTATGTAAGTCGATTTGGATAAAAGCGTCTAACAAGTGACATGTAATGTAATAATGTTGTCCTGTTTACAGCCTAATATTCGACATAACAACAAGTGATCCAAAGTGTGAATAGAGATGACCTGGATAGCGTGCACTAAATGTAATATAATGAACGGCAGAATGCAGGGGAAAGAACAATGCTTCTGTGGGTCATGGGGTTTTTAAAGAACTCGTTCAAAGCACTATTTTAGTTATGACTGAGTTCTTTGTCTCAGTTTCTCCGTGGCTCTGCCCACAGGACTATCATGTGCATCCAATCTATATTCTCAGCCAGGCGGTCATCTGTTTCTCCTCTTCTCATGCTGCCAGGGAACAATGGCCTAGTAAACAGACAGCAGGGTAACATGGATTGACTCCAGAGGCATTGGTTAAACAAACTCTTTGATTTAATGTCAGAGATCCATAAAATTGTATCTGCAGCAATTACACTCCCAGATGTCACACAAAAACAGAACAAACTGTTCTAGTTTCTATGTCTGTTTTTACCCTACAACATCTTGTTTTTATGTTTGTACTTGTTCTGTTTGTAATGTTGTCAACATGTTTCTTCATGCCCTTCCCACCAAGACAAATTCCTCTTTATTTACGGGAACTTCCCAGATGACTCCTCTCATGCATCACTGACGAAAATTAGCTTATACGTTCGTTTGTGCTTTTTTCATTTGTATTAAATGTGAATATATCTAGTTATCATACCACAACACTACCTTTGTATGACTAATTTTAAAACATCTGTTAATATCTTCAAAGGGGACCTATCATGCAAAATGCACTTTTTGATGTCTTTTATACATAAACATGTGTCCCCGGTGTGTCGGGGAACTCACGCAGCGTCAGAAAATAAAACCCTCTCTCTTTTCCTCCGTACCCAAATCTATAAAAACGGGGCTACAACGGAGCTGATCCAGATTTGCGTCCGATATGACTTAATATCGGAAATGTGGACCCACGGCCCTATCAGAAAGTTGGTATCAGAAACAATACCGACTGTTTTGGACGTAATATGGTCGGTGGATGTTTACATTAGCATCGCTAACACTCAGAGCTAACCTGTACTGGAGAGCATGTGTGTGTGAAGAAGCAGGCTTTAAGCTGAGGGTTAGGCTAGGTTTCTTTTTTAGAAACAAGTCCTGTTTCTCATTTGAAGCCAGGAAAAGGCTAGTCACTGTGACCTTTTTACTGGACTATGGTGATTTGATATATATGAATGCACCTGCCCATTGCCTGGAAAAGTTAGATGCCGCCTATCACAGTGCTCTGAGATTTGTTACTAACTGTAAAGCACTTACTCATCACTGTACGGAGGCTCAGTCATTGGTACATGTTCATGTATAAAGCCATGTTGGGTAAACTACCAACTTATATCTGCTCTCTGATTTCACAGCGAGTGGCAATTAGCTATTGCCTGAGATCCCAGGATGTGTTTTTATTACATGTGCCAAGTGCTAGGACTGTTTTAGGTACTAAAGCTTTTATGTGCGCTGCTCCTCTAGCATGGAACACTATGCAATTTCTTTTGAAACTGATCATTTTGGTTCCCTTGCATCATTTTAAAGCGCTGCTGCATGAAATGTTATTAGATATCTGTCATTGTGAATAGGTTGCTAATTTATAGCCCTGTAATTATGTTGTATGATGTCCTTTTTGTTTTCTGTGGTTTTTATGTGTAACCAATGTGCTGCAGGTCTCCCTTGAAAAAGAGATCGTTGATCTCAATGGGATTTTCACCTGGTTAAATAAAGGCTACAAACAAGCAGGAAATAAAAAGGAACTCACCTTGTGGTATAACCGGCAAGAGAGAAAGCCTTTGAGCTCCATACTGTTTCAGAAATAATCCTTGATAATCCATGATATGGCGTTTCATCACGGCAGTATTTAGTTTAGACAGTAGCTGCCGGGTCCTGCATGAGCACAGCCCCCTCCTTTTTTTTTTTTTAATCAATTTTCCTTTTTTAAAAGCTTTATACCCCAAATCAGCACTTTTGAAACAGGAAGTGAAATAGAGGGATATGAGGCATGGAGGGATATGAGGCATGGTGTTTAGACACTTCATAGACATGTTTTTTATATATTTGTATATATCTGAGACCTATGCTATTGCTAAAAATAGCATGATAGGTGACCTTTAAGTGTAGCCTGATACTTGGAGAACATCTTTCTATCTGCTGTCTTTAGTTTTTTTAGTTTTTCAATAACAAATGTATTTCTTTAATAAAAAAAAGAAATAAAAGAAAATAATATATACATATGTTAGTAATTTAGTTTTTCGGAGAAGGGGTGGGATTAAATAATTGTAAACTTCTTCCCACCCTTTTTTGGATGTGTAATTAAGTAAATTATTTGTTTATATATAATTTAGAATCAATAATATTTTTGTATATCAATTTGACACAATTTTGTACTGTATAATAATTCTCATGTTACATTTTTGTATTATAGTTTTACACATTCAAAATAAATCAAATCAAAATCTGTGAAAGAAGTAGTTAGCATATTAATTGGGTATGTAGAACACATTTACTCACAAAAACCTCTCTCCTTTTCCACAGAACTTCCTCACTGTGGGTGAGTCCAAGTCGGCTCGCTGCGATGATGTGGAGTCCATGAAGAAGATAAATTGTAAGGATGCTAACTGTCGAAAGGACAACAGTACGGACATCTGCAGCAACAACGGAGACTGTGTCTGCGGCACATGTGAATGCAAGAAGCGTGAGAACCCTTCAGAGATCAACAGCGGGAAGTACTGCGAGTGCGACAACTTCAACTGCGACCGCTCCAACAACAAGCTCTGCGGAGGTGAGGCTTGTAGAAATAGAGTTATTTAGACTGAAACCGTTCTCACTGTAAACTCTTTATTTTATTTTTCCTTTATTTAACCAGAATGATCAAATCAAATCAAAATGTATTATAGCCCCACATCACAAGAAGTGCCTCAAAGGGCTGTACAAAGCAAACAAAAGCAAAGACAAAAACAAAATACAAACGTCATAGCATAACAATTATAAAAAACATTATACAACAACAACATAAGTATTGCCATGTGATAAAAGCATGTGACTGAAGTGATGGTAATGTTGATGGAAACTAGGTGATGGAAATGAGTTTACAAGGAAGACAGATGTGAAGAGATGGGTTTTCAGTTTTGAAGGATAGGTCTCATTTAGATAACAAATTATATTTTTCAAGAGAGTCCTGGCACACGAATGGTAACAGCACAGTTACAGACTATTTTAAAACACACAATCATAACACAGTCATACACAGGGGTGCACATAACTTTTTTAGTGAGTTACTCAGATGAGTACCAGGAGACAGCGTTTGGTACTCACCTCCTCAGTGTCTCCTTCACTGTCCTTTATTTACACTTCTTGCATGCTAGATGATGAAGATGCACCTCCCTGTCTCTTTTTAAGCCTCCGATTTGCTTTCTCCAAAACTTGTTGCCAAAACTGTGAAGTCCTTGCATTTCCTGAGGCCAAGTTGAAGGATGAAATACTAAGAAATGATCACATGACTTGAAGTCATATCTGATTTCAGATGTGGGAAGTTACTAAGTACACTTATTCAATTACTATACTTAAGTACAATTTTGAGATATTTGTACTTTACTTGACTTTAATGCTACTTTGTACTTCTACTCCATTACAGTTCAGAGGTAAATTGTGTACTTTTACTCCATTACATGTATTTAATACCGTTAGTTGCTTTACAGATCTGGATGAATGATGTGAAATATAATCAAGTGTTAAATCAGACTTTAGTTCCACCTGGAGTAAATTCACAAGCTACCCTGCAGTATACAAAGTCATTCAAACTAGCTGCACCTTTACCAGCTTTGAGAACACTTTAATGATCAATCATTATAAAACATGTCATATATATTATTCTGAAATGGACCAATCTGCACAATCACTACTATCAAGTACTTTTAGTACTTTAACTATATTTTGATAATACTTTTCAAATTTTACTTGAGGAACATTTTGAATGCAGGACTTTTACTGTAACAGAGTATTCCTACACAAGATATGAGTACTTCTTCCACCTCTGTCTGATTTCAAACTCTTCCATTAACAGCCTGAGTAAGTTTGCAACTGTGTGTTTTACTCTACTTTGTTGTAAATAAAACTGCAGCAGCTTGACCACAGAGCGTGAACGTTGTGATCAGCTGATTTTGCGCAGTTCTCCAGTGTGTGCGCGGGGCACATGTGCACAGGGGAGTCTCCCACTGCAGCCAGTTGGCGGAGTTTTGGCACAATTCTGTTGTTCATACCGACGTTAACCCTGTCTGTGCACACGGTGAACCACTCTGTCATCCGGTGATCTAAGCCTCTGCCTCCTGTAAAGCTTCACAGGTCCGTCGGTTATGTCCTGCGCGGCTCGCCCAGCTCCAGTTCAATCAGTCATAGAAAGTCAGAAGATTTTTTGCAGGGAGCGAAACGGCAACGTAGCTGCTTAATGTCTTTGTTTTTTTTTACATGTCTAGTAGTTTACTCCATTGAGTGTTGACAAGAAACACGTGAAGACGAAATATGTGTTTTGTTTTGATGTTTTGAGGTACGCAAAGGCGCGTAGTGACACAAGTGACGTTACGCAATTCAGATTTGTGCCACGCATGTGTCCTGCGTACCAGTTATGTGCACCCCTGGTCATACAACAAGTTAGCCAAAGCTTTTACAGACACAATGGCTTCAAGGTCATTGAGAGTCGCTTTGAGTTTGTTTAATGAAACCAGCTCTCTGAGTTTCAGCTCAGTTTGCAGCTGGTTCCAAGCACAGGAGCAGCGTAACTGAACGCCGTTTCCCAAGTTCAGTACGGACTTTTGGTTCAGCTAGAAGAAACAAGTCCTCTGAGCGAAGCCGATAAGATCCTGTGCATTTTCGGTTTATGTAGATCCTTAGATAAGGAGGAAGAGCACCAAGAATAGCCTTATATATAAGGATGTGACATGTTTCAGTCTACTACGCGTGGTCAGGGAAGACCAGAGATGCATGGCAAAAGTACACACATCCTTTACTCAAGTAGAAGTACAGATACTCGTGTTTAAAAATACTCCGGTAAAAGTAGAAGTACTGTACTGACTAAACTTCTTTACTCAAGTAAAAGTAAAGAAGTATGGGCTTTGTTAGAAATTAAAATCAATATTGAATGACGTAATTTAGTTTAAACAAACAGTAAGTTCAAAACTGTTTTATTCTGAAAACAGTTCCGGTTAAAGTTTACTTTGAAAAGCTGTATAGAGTGGCGAAGTCCCTCCCACTTACTTCCGGGGTATGGGACCTTATTTCGGAAAAATTATGCATTGAAGTCAATGGGGAGAGAAAACTTATCTTTCGATCCCGTTTGAATTGTGCCATGAATTACACATATGATGTTTGTCAATCTTAAAAAATCATTTCCATGTCAAAAAAGTCACAGTTTGTCTTAAAACTGTTGAAATATAAGACTTTGAAAAATACGAAACTAGAAAGACTACAAATCCCAGAGTCGCGTAAGTGATGTCACAATTGAGACACTACGATACACGTATAATACCGTATATATACGATCAGCGCCATATAGATAGAATCTATCTATATGGCGCTGGCTAAGATAAGATAACTTTAACAAGATACCTGTGTGCTTAGTACCAGGTTGTTATTATACCAGCAATGGGTCTTGCTCGTTCTTTCGCTTCCCGTCTGATGAAAGAGGAGTGTGTGGATCAAGTTAGCTACCTAGCTAGTAGCTAGCACGTTAGTTAGCATTACAGCCTTGTCATTTTTATTAGCCTTAACATGAAGTAACATTAAGTAACCCAAAATGTTAAACAGTAAGAGTAGTAGTCATATTTCGTGAACCCTTTGAATAGTACTGTCACCGGTGTGATCATTCTATAATACACAATTTAAGCCCGGGGGAGAAATGCTAACGCTAACGCTAGCGATCTTCTCTACTTCATGCTATCTGCACAAATGGTTGACATTAAACATTAAAACGACCAGGCAGTTCAGAGAGAATCAAAGGAAGGAAGGCAGGCAGCTTTGCATGACATTCTTCAGGACGTGTTTCATTGTGGTGATAGTGAGGGTAGTCTCTTGTGTTGACAAGACAGTAGTGACGGCCATCTTGGTGACGTGTGTTGTTGACCAGAGATCAGATGTAGTTCTTTGAGCGTTTCACACAAACAAATGTGTTACTTCACAGTTTTACGACACATTTTTTTTTTTTTGACTTGCAAAATTATCTTTTAAATTGACAAACAACATATGTGTAATTCATGGCACAATTCAAACGGGATCGAAAGATAATCTTTCTCTCTCCATTGACTTCAATACATAATTTTTCCGAAATAAGGTCCCATGGAGGTCCACCGGAAGGGGAGGGACTTCGCCACTCTATTGAGAGACGACAACAATGACCACTTCCGGTTTCACGTTTGGATCGATTACAGCCGTTAAAATGCATTAAATAAAAAGTAATGAAAGAGTGTATGAGGAGAAAAGGCGTGTGGAAGTTATACAATGACCACACAACGTTTAAATCCTCTGTTATGTGTGATATCGGACATTGGAGAAAGAGGTGGGAGAACAACGTCACCAGCCGCCATTGAAGGAGGAGCGCTGGATCGATACAGACCAAGCCCCCAGGAAGTGCGCCGGACTCAGATGAAAATATTCGTGCTGGCCAAACGGCGGTACTACACTTCCTTTTGGTTGCCAGGCCCGGAAACACTTTTTCCCATTGACTTACATGGGGAAAGAGTGGTCTGTAAATCGTTGGATAATTTTTTTTAAACTAAATAAACTACCCAGTATGAACACTTGTATTGCCCTTATTAAAAACATTCGTTCCTCAAGTTGTAAAAATGTGCTAATAATGTTATTCTGTGAGTTATTTCCCTCTGCATTATGAATGCGCATCTAACCCACGGGACCACGCCGCCCGGCACGTTCATGTTACGTGTTCAGCACTACATGCGTTTATCTTTACCCATGGATGCACAATAAGAACGGACCCATATCGCCTTACTGCCAGCCCACGGAGCTGTAATAATGGATATATTGCACATGTTTGCTGTAATTCATCATTTGTAAAATATTATACTACATGGGCTGTATATGATTAAATCTTGTACCGTAAATGTTGTATTAAATGAAGTTAATATTACCGACGTAGATTAACGTCCCTGTACAGTAGCTTCTTATTGCACTAAGAAGCTTATTGCACTGTGTATATATATATATATATATACATACATATAGATATATATATATAGATATATATATATATATACAGTGCAATAATTCGTTCATGCTAAATGAAGCTCTGTTGCTTGGATATCACTAGATTCTGTTACAGCGTAATATAAAAGTACATAACGATTGATGTGTAAATTAGCATAATTACTAGCTAACCGCTAGCTGCTAACTGCCGCCTCGTTAATATAAAATCTATCATAACAAACCATTACCATGCTGTCATGAACGTGCGGTGCTGTTACGTGTACGCAAATTGACGTGCTTGATGTGAACAAGCATTTTGGGGGGCATGGTTAAAGTTGCGCATGCGCTATGAGCGCACATACGGGTACTTCTCAGGCATGCCGGGTAATCTGTGACGTTTCGCTCTCTCAAAGGTTGTGCCATTTTATCATCATGCGCGAATGAGCAACTCTCATAGGAATGAATGAGGCCCCGCCTCCCACGCTGTATCCAGTTCTTATTATACATCCATGATACAGACGGAGGACAACGCGATCTCAGGCACTTCTTGACCGGGCCGCCTCCAGACAGCAGCTGCAGCTGCTCTCTCCTCACTCCTTCTGTTTGTTTCATTACCGCGCCATTTAATTAAAGTAACCCATTTGAACCTTTTCAGAGACTCCATTAGTCTCCTTATTGTAAGCTTCTCTCCTGGACGCGAGAATAACGAACACAAATCAACAGCTTTGAAATGTACTTAAAGTGGACCTATCATGCTATATTTAAATGATATATTGTAGGGCCATACCTATATAAGGTATATTTATACGTTTCTGTTTTCAAAATACCAAACAGATCATGATTTTAAGCCATGCCTCATTTCGCTCTATTTGTTGTTCTCCAGCACTGTTTTTGCAAGGGCTGATTCTGTGAGCTGCAGCTGACCACGCCCCCCTGCAGGAGAGGGGAGCACGCTCTGATCAGCTGCTGGGCTGTCAGAAGAGGGGGAGAAAAAGAGATCTCCGTCCTCCGTGTTTTATTATATAGAGTCGTTATTCATTTGTTTTAAAGCTCAATAAATAACAAAGAAGACCTTTGACCGACACTTTTCTAATTTTGTCCGGAAGATTTAAACTTTAACGGACATCTTGACCGGCGAAAGAAAACCTAACTGAAACTCTGCCGCACGGTCCCCTCGTTCCTTGGAAGAGGCGGAGAGGTGGGTGTTTGTCATCTGCTGGTGGACTAACCGGAGAGAATTACAGTGCTTGCCTCGACGGGGAGGGATTGCATTGAATTAAAGCAGCCGGAGCAAACGCTTGCCTCGGGGAGAGAGAAAAAGAGCCACAGCGGAGAATAAACAGAAGGGTAACCATGGTAACTATGTGCGGGAAGTCTTCTTCGCTGCTTTTGTGGCAGACTACAGCGACACTTACAGGCCTGGCATATGTACTACACCGTCTCCAGCGCTTTCGAGCGGCAATGGCCGGCCGTGGCCCAACCCCACATTCCCCTGATAGGTGGAGAGTTGGCCCAATAGCCGTAGCGCCACTTTACTGACGTCAGTAAAGTGTTCAAATCTGGATCAGTTTTGATCAGATCCGTTGCAGCCCCTTTTTTAGAGATTTGGGTATGGAGGAAAATAGAGAGGGTTGTGTTTTCTGACACTTGCTGAGTTCCCTGGAACACTGGGGACACATATTCATGTATAAAAGACGTACACAAGTGCATTTTGCATGATAGGTCCCCTTTAAGTAAAAAGTACCCATAACTGTACCATAAGCTGTTTTAAAGAGTACCTGACCTCCCTTTATATTAATAGAACAATAATGTCATTGTTAGCTAATGAATGTTTCCATGCTGAACAACGGCAACATGACAACGTTTTCATTGGTCCCTCTTCTTTAGAGAAGACCAGGAAATGATGGATACACGGATCGTGTTCAAATCAATAGGCACGCAATGACTCTAAATAATAATGATCACGCCACCAAACACACATTCAAACTAAAGTAACCAGCCTGTTTGGAAAATGTAAGAAGTAGAAAGTACAGGTATTTGGGTTCAACATGTAAGAAGTAGAAAGTACAGGTATTTGTGTTCAAAATGTAAGAAGTAAAAGTAAAAAATGGTCAGAAAAATAAGTAATGGAGTAAAGTACTGATACCAGAAAAATGTACTTAAGTACAGTAACGAAGTATTTGTACTCCACTACTCCCCCCCCCCCCCCCCCCCCCCCCCTCTGGGAAAGAGGGTATAGGTTGCAGTGGTGCGTCAATGTGTTTGATGTTTGAACTCTGTGGTAACTCCTCCCTGTACTTCCCCAGGACACGGCCGCTGTGAGTGCAGGGAGTGCATCTGTGACGCTAACTACACCGGCAGCGCCTGCGACTGCTCGCTGGAGACGGCCACCTGCCTCGCCAAGAAGAACAGGCAGATCTGTAACGGCCGCGGCACGTGTGAGTGTGGAATCTGCAAATGCACCGACCCCAAGTTCCAGGGTTCTACCTGCGAGATCTGCCCCACCTGCCCCGGGGTCTGCGCCGAGCAAAAGTGAGTCTGGAGCTAGCATGCTTAGCTGGAAATTGTGAAATCTTAAAATATAGTATTTTATTTATTTATTTGTTTATTCCACACATGGCAGCTAAAAAAAAATCTACTTGAAAGTCAGAGGATTTAAGGTAATGTTAGAGATGGGTGACTTTGCAGTAAGATTTGACTTACTTGGTGTGTACATTCTTTGAAACAGAATTGATGCCTTAATGTTTGGACATTACATTTGCTGGGAATATAATTGAATACATTAAAATAAATACAAACATGTAATGTTTTTATTTTCTGGTATCATGACCTGAGAGTCTCTAAATGATAGGCTACATGTCTGCCTCTGTGTTCCTCCATTTTCTTCATCATCATGTAGTTCACTTTCTCAAGATGTTTCTCTACATCTACCAATGTGTAATAATAATAATAATAATAATAATAATAGATTACATTTGTATAGCGCCTTTCAAGGGACCAAAGTCCGCTTTACATGGTGCACAAACAAACAAAAGGGACAAATAATAATAAAGTAAAGATTAAATAAATAGCAGTAGGAGTGGAAGCAGGGGGACTGTGATGGGTTAGGGGTCAAAGGCCATGGTGAACTGGGACTAATGAATATTATAAAACACACAGACAGTAAATGAACCCTTCTTCCTCGTCTTCAGAGACTGCGTGCAGTGCCGAGCGTTCGAGGCCGGAGAGAAGAATGACACGTGTGAGCGCGACTGCAGCTACTTCCAGCTGATCAAAGTGAAGGACCGCGAGAATATGCCCCAGCCCACCGACCAGAGCTTCCGCCTGACCCACTGCAAGGAGCGCGACGCCAACGACTGCTGGTTCTACTATATCATCAGGAACGACACCAAGGAGGTCTACGTGTTGGAGACGCTGGGTACGATTAGACTGCTGCATTTAGCTTAAATCTATACCAAAAAATGAACTCCAGACAGCATCAGAATCAGAATACCTGAGTCCCTTTTGTTATTGTGAGACAATCCTGCACATGGTTCACCATCAAAAGGCAAGGAAGAGAAGTGCTACCAAACAAATAGCGTTTAAAAGGATTTAGAATTTAAAAAAACACTGCCTTTACAAGTATTTTTTGGGCCTCAACGATGCTGCAATGATCTGTTTGGTATTTGGAGCCAAACACTTCAGAGACATGTTTTGTATATATCTGAGACCTATAATATATTGATGGAAAAACAGTATAATAGGGGACCTAAATAGGGGATTTAATTTTGTTTCTCTCGTTTCCCCCCCTCAGATTGCCCTGCTGGCCCGGAATGAGATGTCAGGGCAATAGGTCTGTAGCTGGATGGATCTGAAGGGTCTTTCCCTGGCTTTAGGATGGGCACTATTATTGCTTGTTTCCACACTGATGGAAGTTGTCCAGTATCCCCGACCCAGTCTCACGGCATTTCATATTATAGTCACGACATTTAATCTATTGATTCGTGTTCATCAACACGATTTTCACCTTTTTTTCGTGTCACAGAACGATTTTAAAAGCAATGTATTTCTATTGGTAGTATGTTTCGTGCCTGCAATACGTCTTTTTGTCCGGTCGGGTCTTGGAAGACTGGAAGCTGTGTGTTTCATAAAAACATTTTCTTACTCAATATCAAGCCACGATTATTGTTTTTATTTTATATCGTATAATGTCAGACTTTTTTTGCCGTCCGCGAGGAAAAGAAATGGGGCTCAGGATACTGAAATCTGTATTTTTTAAATCTTTTTTTCCTTCTAATGTGTTATTCTTTTCTAAATAACACACTGTTATTTACTCAACAATAACACACAAGCATCCTTGTTTTTATTTGTTTAATTCTATAATCTCTGGCTTTTTTGCCGTCCGTCAGGAACTGAATTTCAAAATAAAGTCACCGGAAACAGACGTAGGCGATACACACCCACCAAACTGATTACCCAAGATCCTCAGCTATGGTTGAAGCTCGCTGATTGGATTTTTTAGCCGCAATGCATGTTGGGATATGGTCTTTATGCGATATGAAATCCGAAAAACATTTTAAAAAAGAAAATAATACTTTATTCCGAGTGTGCTTGCTTTTTCTCTTTGAAAGTCATCACATAACGGCATTGTAATACACGGTTCGGCTGCATTAAATATTGCACATCTGCCGTAGTTCTTTATTTATAGAGCCCTGATGAGAAGACCTTTGGACGAACTGGAAGAAATGCCGCCGAAACTGATACGTGACGTGGATAATAAATATATCAGCAATTAAACAACATCTTCAATTTCTTTTCACACAATACGTCTCCTTGCAGTATCAATACTAATACGGCTGACTTTTATATTTGATCCAATTGGTAGATAGGTTATATTTACACCATAACGATGCAGAGCTGATAGACAGGGACTTGTATTCAGGAGTTGCTGTATTAATACATTAGCTATATAATAATAGTACCTGTCAATTATATAGCACATTTTCCCGATGCTCAAAGCGCTTACATATATAATTGTTAAATCTCTCGCTGTTCTATATATTACCACATGAACCAAAGAACATTAATTAGCCTTCATAAATGCATTTAATGCAATGCTAAAGGTTTGGAGTTCACTCATTTGTGTCTTATCTTTGATATATAAACTCAATGAGTGATGAAAATGCGAATAATGAAAAATGGTACCAAAAAATGAGACAGTTAATGACTGAATACATTTCCATAAAAGCTTGTCACTTTACTTAATCACAAAGCACTGCAACAGCGTTGCATTATTAACTTTATTTAAATATGGAAGTTTACATTTACATGTCTTTAAATTAAATATCTTTAAAAAAGGTAAATCATACAGTCAGGAGAGAAGAGTCATAACTTGTTGAACTTTATTGGAGCAAAAATAGTGATACCCGAAAATGAGCGGAAGAGGAAAAGGAGGAAAGGGACTGGGAAAAGGAGGCGCCAAGCGTCACCGTAAAGTTCTCCGTGATAACATCCAAGGAATCACCAAGCCCGCAATCCGTCGTCTGGCTCGCCGTGGCGGAGTGAAGCGTATCTCCGGTCTGATCTACGAGGAGACCCGTGGGGTGCTGAAGGTCTTCCTGGAGAATGTGATCCGTGATGCCGTCACCTACACCGAGCACGCTAAGAGAAAGACTGTGACCGCCATGGATGTGGTGTATGCCCTGAAGAGGCAGGGCCGCACTCTGTACGGCTTCGGAGGTTAAACATCTACACCCTGATATACAAAAACAACGGCTCTTTTAAGAGCCACCCAAAGTACTTAAAGAGTCCGTTTCCTTTCGATATCGACAATATCACACATTTTGCAGTCGATGAACATTATATCAATCCCAAATTCCATCTCCAAAACAGAACTCTTGCTAGGATACTTGATATTAAAAATGTCACCTATTGGACAATGTTGTTTATCCGACATCTAAGATGTACAAATCAATTATATGTTCTAAATACCACATAGGGTTTTGACACAAGTCAGCCACTGGGTATTGTCCACAGTAATCAACGTATAATCTAATATTAGGAAATGTAAGGTGCTTTGAGGACTTTGGAAAGCCCTCAAATAAATACCATCAATTCATAATTAAGTCCAAATGTATTTCAATAGTCAGGAAAGGGATTTCTCAGAGCATCATTATTGGTTGTCTGAATTGCAATCAATGTATTGTCACACTTCATCCGTCCGGGGGTTCCTAAACAAAAACGTGAGAAAAGTCCAGAAATGTTTCTAGATTGTTATTAAACTAAACTATTGTTTATGTTTTAGTATTGTACTGTCAAATATCAAATGTCGGTGTAGATTTTAAGCTTTTCTTGGCTTGATGACATTCGTGGTGACACGGATACAAATGGTTTTGGAAAAGTTTTGAAATTCAGAATGTGAAAGGTGTAGGAGCCCTGAAAGCCTTGTGTTCATGGCACATGAAACATCCAACATATTGTACATAGGTTTTAATATATTTGAGCGCCCTTTTCTATAGAAAAAGACACCAGTGCCTTAGTATCCTTTCTCTGTTGGGATCACACTAATCCTCTCAAATGTACAGAGAAAATATTAATTTGTGCTGGATCTGGTTGCCATTAACATGTAACACAATTCTGCAGCAGCTTGAATTGATTTCATCCAATTGGTTCCTGTTCAAACATCTCAGTAAAAATTGGTTAAAAGCTGAAATGAATTAGCCTTTTTGAGACAGCTTCTTTAGCTAACGTGTTGTGATAAGTCAATAACCTTGTCAACCTCGAACAGATGTTCACTCTGTGATCATTAATAGGAACATTCTTACTATATGCTGACGATACTTTACTATATATTAAAAAGCCATTTAGCAGGTTTTACATGTTTTGTGTCCCCCTTTTTAATGTAGCATCACATGAACTAAAATTGTGATAAAAAACTTCAATTATTTATTTTAGGATGAGGTTTTAAAGACGTTTTGTTGTAAAGGAAATCCACCTCCTCAATCAGGTTAAATTAAATCATTGTCCGGTTGCAGTAAAGAACATTTCCGATCATTTTAAGGTGCTCTGACTGTCAAGATGTTCTTTATTTGCTCATGAGAACCACACTGTTTTAAAATATCTACTACATATGTTTACATTAGAAGACACAGACACAGGTTATCAAAATTATAATAATTTCCGTCTGAACAAATGTGTTTTTTCCCCTTTTGCTGAAGGATAGTTGGGACCCCAGGCCAGACTCAAAAGACTTTCCATGGGGTAAATTCTGCTGCTGGAGTACTGACTGGAAGTAGTGCTGATATCATGTCTACCATATCCTCTTAAAATACTCTGTCCAACCATATCAGTCTCAGGAAGAAAGGTTTTTTAACGCTTATTAAAAGAAAAACATGCATTCTTGTACTCAGGAGGGGACATTGACAGAGGATTACTGGAAAAGTACACAGTAAGTACTTCATAGTGCTTGTGGGGGTAGTTTCAGTAGTACTGAGTCCAACAGGATCAATCTCACGAATAACTAATGGCAACAAAAAATAATTCCCTCATCAAACTTAGAAGTGGCTTGATTTGGTTCTCAGCAGGGGACTTTGACAGAGTATTTCTCAATAAATACACAGTAAAAGTACTTCAATGTATTTTTAGTAGTAGGCTAACTAATACAAAGTCAAACAGTATCAATTTCATTAAGAACTAATGGTAAAATTGTATTTTTATCACTCATCAAAGACAGCAGAAAACATGCATTATGTACTATGGAGGGGACTCTGACAGAGGATTACTCACAAAGTACACAGTAAAAGTACTTCATTTCATTTCTGGTAGCAGTCAAACTAGTACCGAGTCCAACAGTGTCAGTTTTATTAAGAACTTGTGGTAAAAAATATTTGTATCACTCATTGAATATAGCAGGAAAAGAAATTAAGAGCAGCTGATTTGAAAAAACAAACTTGAGAGACGGCTGAGGTGACCGCAGTGCAGAATCGCTGTATAGTTTAAATCTCCTAACAATGTTGTCCATTTTAGACATAGGCCTATTTACAGCCCTTAATAACATTCATTTTCTGGGCTCAATATGTGTCTTGGCCGTTTTCGTTGTGATCACTAAACTCACCTTGTTTCCCCTTGTTTATAATATCACCGTTCCAAGCAAACGAGGGCTTTTGTTTTGAAATCACTTGCGCGAGTTTCGCCCCGCCCCTCGCTCCAATGACCATTACGCCGCATCCACACGGCGGCGTGCGAAAAAAAAAACATTTTCACCCAAATCACATCAGAGGTGGGTTGCGGTCGAATAGTCCAAAACATCAGCTCCTAAATTCTAACCCTATCGTCTATTCCTTGACCTCTGAGTGAAACGTCATGGGGTTAAGGGATAGTGGATAGGAGAATTCAAAAGGATTTAGGAGAAGAGACTGCGGTACTTTAGAGAATCCGACTGCACTTTCACTATCCGACGTGTTTATGATGCGCCAGCGGAGGTCATAAATGTGCGTCTGCTGCTGTGGGGAAACTATGGAAACTACAGTTTTCTATACAGCGGACTACAACATGGATGTTTAATAAGAACGAGGGACTACTGTAAACTCATCTAGAGACTCTGCACCGTGCTCTGATGCTGTTGTTTTATGCTTTATGAACGGGGACAACAGAGAAACATATTCTTCATGACCAAAGTTGGAATTGAAATAAAAAAGGAAAGTGAAACTTATGCTCGTCACCCTCTCCCTCCGGTCCACATTAATACAAATGATCCCAATACGTATGATTGTATGAAAATATCTTAAAATCAATACAAATGTATTTATTATAAACGTTAGTCCTTAACATCTATCACTGTGTATCACCATTCAAACATCTTTTAAAAGTTGAACAAACCCCACACAGCTCAGTAAAGACTGTGAAATGTTGACTTTATTTGATCATTTCAGTAAAAACTAACGTTCATATTTCTCTTTTTGATTATAATACTGATGAACGTTCAAAACAAAGCACTTTGGCAACTTACCACATACGTTTTAAAATGCTTAATAAGCACCGTAACTTTCATGATATCATTTCTCGGTCATAATCGGTTGTTTCCGTGAACGGCTGACTGTTGTGTGGGGCAGCATTTTCTCCTCTCCTTTCGGTGAGGGAGGTCCAGTGGTTCCTAAGCTAAAGGAGGTTA